AGCTGGGAATTTAAATGGTAGCCCATATGGGACAGCTTTCGGAAAAGCAATAGCATGAAATGGGAAGAGTAAAGTGCATTAAAATGTTATGAATTCAAAATATGATATTAAATTTAAGTCAAGTGGAGGCAAAATAGTTTAAAGGGAAAGCCAGATGCCAGCTCGAAATGGAAACTAATAAATACAAATGAGTGATCGTAAAATAGAAAACATCCTCATTGAGATCAGTACAGTAAGCGGTTTAAAAATGAATAATAACTTTCCTTCCTTCTACTGTTTTAAAAAAAAGTAATGGAGAGTTCAAACTTTATTGATGGTTAAACGGTAGTTTGAATATAACGAAAATAAAAAGAAAGCCAAGAAAATGTTGCAAGTACTCGTTTCAGTAGAAGTAAAAGATAATTAAGTGATAAAAAAAACTATTTAGCATCGGTTTTAGTTTTAGATACTAAAGTTTATACAGGCTGAAAATTTCTTTTTGAAAAAAACGCTCATAAAGTTGATTTTCCATTGTGGAAAAGAGCAAGCCCCATATATGTAAGAATGTGGAGAATTTTAAACTTTTTTGTGGACCATAAGATCTTTATTAACCACTAAAGATGGGACTTGAGGCTTCGGATATTGATAACAGTCTAGAAAGAGAAGCTAATCAAATTTAATAACCAATAAAAAATGTTTTTAAATAGTTCGTAATTTGCTTTAGTTAATAAAGCACTGTGATGAGGCAATTTCTTGGGCTGTTAAAAGTTGGCCAACATGTGCTGCACAATTAATCTAAATCAATAGACCATGCCCAAGGCTATGCAAATTTAGCAATAACTCAAAAGCAATTCTCCCCACTTGAAATTGGTTTCTGTTTACGATCTCCGATTTTAATTGCAGTTCTCGCAATTTTGCGTTCCCTGCTGTGATTATTTTCATTTATCGAACCATTAATATCAAATCATATATGGAATTCTACAAAATCTTTGACAGCTTTCGCAACATATCGCAACAATAAAACAAAAACCAACCAATATACTTTGACTCGAATTACGTTGATCATGTATTTTGTAATTAACATTTCATAAATTTACCATCGCGATAAAATAAGTTTTTCCATTAGGAATCAATTAAAACGCAAAAAAAAAAATACTGCAGTCGGTAGTTATCGCGATTAAACCACTTTTCACACCAGATATTAGATAAAGTCACTGGCGCACTCTTCGTAAATTGCGGCAGTTAGAGAAAAATGTATATTTATTGAAATAGTATAATTCACATGAAAATGGCAATAAATTGTCAGGAGATTATGTGGCCGGCTCCATTAAAAACTAAATAAAAATAAATAAATAAATGTGTGTGCAAATAATGCAGATATATATATATATATATATATATATATATATATATATATGTTGAGCGATTTAATCGCTGCCCAGAGCTCGGTTAATGAATTGAATTGAGCTGAAAAACCCAAGTGGGCAGTCGCCAAGTGGGCCGGCACTCGTTGCTCCGTAGGCTTTGCGCTTTTTGATCTACTCTAGATTGGCACTTTTAGCGTAGCGCCATAGATACCAGAGCGCCTGAGAAATATAATAATAAAAATTATGCACTTGCCACTGCGCAAAAAATTTGCATAGACATACGACTCTATTTCGGTTCGCCTCGCCTCGCCTCGCATATCTTTTGCTCTGTCCGCTTAATCGCCATCTATGTGGGTTAGAGTCATGGCATCTGGCAAAGGCAATCGAGCGTGCCAAATGGAATTTTTGTAAGTAATTGAAAAATTTGTATAATTGAAATGCAGTTCGGAAGGAAAGCATGTGCTGGCGCCAAGTTGACGAGGTGGACTAGTGAGAAGTGTCCTTAAGGATACGGGTTTGTGTCTTTGCTCACTGTAAGGATAACAGTTATAACAGTGAGCTTTAGTGGTGGGAAAATAAATTGTAAAGGACAATTTTTGCCTTGAAGCTTTTTTAAGTAAAAAAAAAAGTGTAATAAAACATTATTATAATTCAAAAACATAATTTTTAACCTAATAATCTACCAGTAAAATAAATTTGGTTAGCCTCTAAAATTGATACAATTTCGAACAGTATTTTGTTGAAAGGAATGTAATCCCTCTTTCTTTCCTTCATTTCCCAAAGGGTTTATACTCAATTAATTTACCTACAAAAATAAGCTCTAAATTCCCGAGAAGCATTTTCACTTAAAATCATTTCCTAACTCATGTGGGAAACTTCAAAAAATGTTCAAGATTTTCTTTGGTAATCCCGCACTTAAGTTTACCCTGGGAAAATGATCGGAATTTGCCCGACTGAAACTCCTATTGATTTATTAGCATTGAAGGCAAAAAGCTTTAAAAAAATGGACACAAAAAGAAGCATTTTTAATGTAATATGTTGTAAAGCCACCACACGAAAATCACCCATACCGACCACATGCTGGTGTCCCAAATGCATTAGGGAGACCACGAGAAAAGCGGAGCCGCCTAAAAGAAAATAAACAAACACAGCAACGCCCGCATTCCAAGGAAAGCGCCAGCAGCAGCAGCTGCATGAAAAACAGCGACTAGTAACAGCAACTGCACTGGAAAAGTTTGGTTTCTTTTGGAGTTCGTTAAATATGATTGAAAATGAGTTGAACAATTAAATATTATTGTAATACGTCGATAAACACTTGAAACCGAAAATACCAAATAATTAGTATTTACAAAAACTAGATATTAAAAAAAAAGTATGTAAGTAAGATTGGAATTTTTAGAATTTTTCAACAAACTCTAATTGCACATTATAATTAATATTTTCTTAGTTTCAAATATTTAAAATTCAGGACAGTTAAGATAAGATTACAATCATAAGTCAATTTTTTCCTTGGAATACTATGCATTTTTTAATTTCCCCCACTGATGTTTAAATAAACTTAAATTATTTTCCGTGTATCATCAGCAACAACTAGCAGCTTGCAGTCACACACAAGTCAAAGAAATTTGCTGTTAATTCACGTATTAACCTTTTGACATTTGGCAGCATCGCCAACGACGACGATGCCGAAGTGGAGAAAAGAAAAACAAGTCCACAAAATTCCGATATGGGGAGATAGAACTGCGGGAGGGAAAATCAAGGGGCAAGTTGGAAGGAGGAGGGCGGGCAGTGGGGAGCAGGGCTTGGGCACATCTGCCATGGAAAACTGTGTCAATGTGCCAGCAACAACAGCAAATACAAGAAAAACTTTTGCCGGCGCGTCGGTTCTTCACATTTGAGGGTGTGTGTGTGTAGTGTGCTGTTGTGTGAAGATGTTGGCATGTGGGAGGGCACAAGCTGTGATCGGCGGTCGGTACGCTGCCACGCCAAATGGAAAGTTGCCGCAGCTAAAATATGCCCAAGAATCGAAGATTAAGATACCTCTATCACAAACAATTGTAATAATTATATTACAAAATAAGTCAGCATTGAGAATACTGATGATTAGAGTTGGTTACCATCAAGAAATTATATTATAATTTTATTAAAAATGTGCTTTCTAAAATACATACGTTTTCTTTTTTTTAAGGTTGAGTAATTATAATATAAAACCATATCTGAACTGGATCCCATTCCGGGAACTACTTCAAGTAAGAATAATCTTTTTAAGTTATACAGTGTATTAAGCTGCCATTTGATTGAGTCGTTTCCCCAATCACATCATGCCCACTTAAAGGGTACCACAAACTCGTGTCTATGAAGTACGTGTGCTTCAATGACTTTCAATTAAATCAATATTCATCGTTTTGGCTGCGGCGGCCGCTTCGGGCTAAATGGCAACGGGGCGACCAAGGCAGCGACTCTTAACTCTTAACTCCGCTCCTTGATTAGACGCGACAACAACAACATCGCTAGACAACATTGGCTAGCAACAACAACAGCAACAACCGGCAACAGCAGCATGGGAAAATGTGCAATTTTGGCCAAAAATAAATAAGCCAGGCTGGAGGACAGAGATCCGACCTGACCGTCCCTCGTCTCACATTCGTTGCGCAAAAACTGCTGCCTGTGTCTTGACGATATTACACAAACAAAAACGAAACATTTAATGTAAACCACATTTTTACACAAAATATCATTGAGTTCAATAGATGCTAAGTAACGCTTTTTAATAAGACAATGTGCAAATTGGTTTTCTAAACTTTTTATAATTATTACAAAGTAAATTTCGTATGGCTTATAATATATTAAATATCTTTACATAATCAAAATGTACCATTTTATTTGTGAGTGAAAAATAAATACAAGCTAAATACTAGAAAATAAATATTTTGCGAAACATTTGTTTTGTTTTAAATTATTTCTTTTTCCAACAACCAATTTTTCGCCGTGTAGCCAGCAATCAAAGATACACCAGGGAGAGCAGAAAAATAAACATTTGAACTACTAGCCCAGGCCTTTCACAAAAAAGGAGGCGGGCGCCAAATCGCGCGCAAATAATTAATGTTTGGCAATAATCGAAGACACCTTCGGAGGCAGTTGCAGCTTTGGCCGGTTGCCAGTTGCCAATTGCCGATTGCCAATTGCCAGTTGCAGGTTGCCATTTTGCCATTTGGCCAGTGGATTTTGAGGCGCAACAAGTGCAGCCAGCGGGCATGCAAATGAGGCCGCAAGGGAGGCGTCACCTTGCCGGCAAAATATTTTAGCGTATTTTCGTTGTAATTACAGTTGGGTGGAGAGTTATGAGAAGAAAACGGTTACGGCCAAAGTTTATTTTGGAGCCCCGCTGAGCAAAAAAAATATGACACCAGAAATTACGCTCACCAAATTGGGTATTCAATAGTTATTTGTTAAATGTTAATTATAAAGTTGGCGTGGTGGTTTGATATTTATTTACTAAGTGAACATCAAAATTTGGACAGGTACAAATTAAAAATATAAATGTTAAGAATGTATATTGTTTTGCGTACAATAGTTTTTTCCTAGCAAATACATTTACACTATTATTAAACCAATTGTTGATTTTTAGCATATAACATTGTCGCCTCAAAATAATCAATTTATCATTTTAAGGTCTATAGTGACTTTGATATTGGTATTTCCAATAAGTAACTCAATGAAAAAGGAAACGGTAGCCAAAATCAAGCCACCCAGCCACAATCCCGCAATTAGGTAATAATATTGCAAATCATTCGATTTCACTTCCAAATGCCGATCACGAAATCCGAAATTCAGTAAACCACTCTGAATGCCATGTCGATAGGCATCGTCCTTCATTTTCAGGTAAATTCCACTCTCGAATATTTTTCTTATAAACCAATTAAACAACTGCAAATAGGGACGTCCAAATGCAGTTGAGATTTGAAGGGGTTGCTGGTATAGAATATGTGGAAACTTGCGGAAAATTGGAAGTCTGAGGAATTTTTGCTGGTAAAGGGCAAACTCAATGCGATCATAAAATCCCGAGTGAATACAGCTTGTGTTTAAGTTTCTGCGATACATATCAACATTTGCTTCTGATGTAGGTACTATGCGTTTCAATAGTTTATTTCGATCGGGAATTAATTTTTGCATGGTGTTTACGTCTACATCGATCAAGGGCCAAATGCCATTGGTTTCGTCTAAATCTTCCCATGTATTTATTTGTTTTTCGTAAAGTCCTGCAGCCAAATTACTGGAAAGTTGAGCCAGATACAGATTGGTAAATATAAATCCTGAAGTGGTTAATATTATAAAGAGTACGAAGCGATGGTGGGTTGGTCGAGCACCCATATTTCTGCCTCCTGAGAGAAATAAAACCAATCGAAGAATTTGCAGAAAAGCTACACTTATGTTTGTTTGTCCTCTTGATAAAATTCTCAAAGCCAGAGAGCAATATATTATCATTATTATCCAGGTAATCCAGGTGCTAGAGGTATACGTCCTGATCAAATAAACCGAGTTGGGTAAATGTCTGGAGGAGGGCACTATTAGACCACAATTTTCCAAATAAAGAATATTGGTCATCGAGAACTTTTCAAGCGGTCTGATTAGAAATGGAAAGAAGTCTATCGTACGATTGGCCAAAAGTTCAAGGCCATCGTTTACAGTTACCACATTAATTAATCGAACTGATCCATTAAAATGCTTTGTAAAATCCAGAATCATTCGGAGCATATATCCAGATAAAATCAGTTTGTTATGACTATCTCTAAAGGAAAACCAACGAGGTGCTCCTGCTGTTACAAGACCACTTGTGATATTAAATCCATTAAAATCCCAATTTATGCGAGAGTTATCATAATACTCTTTTACACTATTTAATTGCAAGATTCTCATATTTTGATATGGCATAAAGCTATAGAATCCTTCCAAGTCTGTTAACATTATAAGTATTTGAACAAAACCTTCTTTAAAACAACGGTTAAAAATATATGACAGTTTTTCATAAGTTCCTCCGCTGTAAAGTATTAATACTCGAAGATGTTGATATTTCCACAACCATGCTTTCAAATATAAAAGACCATGACTGAGATACTTATCGTCAAGATACAAGACAGTTAAGGTTCTGCTACTGAAGTTGCCTTCCAGAACTATTTGATTTTCGGTGTTTGTTATCCAAATGGTGGGCATAAAAGGCTGCCGAGCGGCTTGTAAAATATCTGTTCCATTACCAAACTCCAAAAACACATTAAGTTCTGTTTGATAAAACTTATTTAACTCCTGAACCGTTTGGCCCAGGCGATTTGCTCCAAACAGCGAAAGGCCCTGAAGTGTGCTGATGTAAAGCAAATCCATTCGAAATACTATGAAATAATCTGCTTCGGTCTTCTTTTATAGGCAATATTACTCAGCCGTTCAAATGGTATCATTAAATCATTACAGGGCCTGATTTAATCCATAGAGGGCACGACCATTTTAATATATCTAATGGGTAGTCAGGAATACTCTTTATACAAAAAAGGCAAGTCATTAGCTGTCAACAGGAGAAGTAAGTGATAAGTTTATTGAAATATTCAGACGTGTTTATTGATTTCATTATCATTGGAATGCTTACACTAATTACATATATTAAAGTTTAGGGGCTATTTATGATAAGACGAAGTTACAAACTTTGTACAAACCAATTATGACTGGCAATAAAATCTACACTTCTCCAGTAAAAAAACGATTGTGCCAACAAACCATCCCAGAACCAGTAAAATATAGGCAAAAAAATAAAATTCTTTGTCGATGACCTGGATCTCTCGGGATTTTGATTTCCGAAAGCTAATTTCACCACTGGAAATTCCCTCAAAGTTTGCGTCTCTCTGTAACTTTAACCAAATACCCGACACCCAGGTTCTCTGAAGGTAATCGTTAAATAGTTCGATATATGGCAATCCATGACGGAGTGCGACAAAAACCGGCCTTTGGTCGTAGACCTCGTTCAATGTCTTGAAAATCGGCACTCGCAAATACTTTTGCTGTAGCAGTTCAAATGCAATGCGATCTTCATAGGCCGCATAGACGTAACTAGTGTTCAGACTCTTTCGCTGTTTAAAAACCTCCTTTATCGATGCCACTAAAGTAATATTTTGAAACTCTTGTTGAATTATCTTTTCTTTAATCATATTGCGTAGCACTTCCGCGTCGAAACTTTCTACAAGGAATATCCGTTTCTCACGAAATAGATCATCAAAGCTGTTCAGTTGCCTCTTAAATAAACCAGTTGTTAATGAACTTGATAACTGAGCGGTGTAGAGATTGGTCAAAATAAATCCAACGGTGAAAAGCACGATAAAGCTGAGCACCTGATGTATTCCCAGACTAAAATGCCAAATTTTGCTCACAGGAAGTTGAAACAACAGCTGCAGCACATCCAAAAAGGTGGAAGATAGAGAAGATCCCTCGTGCTGCCTATATCGTATCCACCAAAACGCAATAGAGGCATAGATAAAGCTCATTATGAACGTAATCCAAACCTGCCAACCAAAAGGTTGGATAAAGTACAAACTTTTTGGCAAGGGTTCAGCCCAAGGTACCATAATAAATGTCTTAATGTTGTATACAATATAACTGCGGTAAAAATATTTCCAGTCCAAGGCGTGTATTATACGGGGCATCATGTCGATCTCACCATTTGCCAATGCATTTAAGCCAATATTATATGGTATGGTATCCACATCACCAAAAACATGCTCCTCAGTGCCATTATAGGTTTCAATAAACCCTTTTACCAGCTTATACATGTAACCAGCATAGACTACTTTGCCTTGACGATTTGTGTAGTGAAAACATCGAGGTGTCATCGTCTCCACGGAGGTGTAAACCGGCTGTCCTTGCAAATTTCTCAATTTTGTCAAGCCATAGAATTCTTGCATATCCTTTATTTGCTGGATTTTAATTTTGGGATAGGGTTTGTAAGTGTACAGCGATCCATTATTCAAGGCCAGCACATGAATAAAGCCCTTGTGTAAAGCTTGCTCGAAATAAAAATCCAAACTCGAATTTATGATATAAATCATAGGTAAGTGTTGTAATCCCCAGAGTAGTTTCTCCACTCTGTTTAAAGTTTCGTTTTCCGTAGATTCTTTCAAACAGGCGATGATTAAAGAACGCTCACTGAACCTACCCAATAATTTCTTTTGTTCCCTTAAAGAATTCAGTATTAAATTGGGCACTTCCTGATTGAACTGTAACTCCATATCTTGGCAATCCAAGTAAATATTAAGCTGTAGTTGCAGATCTTTGTTAAGCTGATGTATAACTTCTCTGGCTGACCAACTTTTGGAACTGCCAAGGGACAGGACAATCAGTATGAAAATCAGCAAGCGACACATGATGCAGTCCAGCCAGAGAAAAGGACACTGAGACCCTCGACATAAAGCCTTCGCTGTTTTAAGGCCTGGCCAAGATCTCTATCGCAAACAATTACATTGCATTGTCAATAAGTTAAAGTTGAAGTGGAAGTCAGAGGCGATGTTGAAGTCGAAGTCCAAGAGTAAGTCGTGCGCGGGTGAGTGCACTGTGAAAAAACAGCATCAAATCAAAAGTTGGAAACACAAGTGCGACTTTAATGATAAAAAATATTAGACAAGTGGTCTTCCAAATTCTGTTAAATAGTTTTTTTGTTTTGTTTTTCTTTTTTTAAATTTCCTGTATGTACATTTATCTAATTTATTTTTTATCTTAATGTAATTCTTGTGCCTTAAAACAATATAGCAGGTTAAAAAAATAAATAATAAAATCATTAACGCAACTTTAATTTGAAATATATTGTTCCTTATCTTTACATAGTCACGGAAAATAGTTTTCTTTCAGTGTGTGGCTTATCGCAGCATCTACCAAATTGCCCCTTTGACCACGACCACGTAAACGTAATTGTTTGCGGTCTGGCTTCGGCAGTTCTAACGTGACCAAACAATTGCTAAATGTCAAAGATATTGTTAATAAAATTACATGATTGCATAAATGGGCGCTAAACTGGGCGGTGATCTAAGAAAAATTATGTCAGCCAGATGGTATGTGCCAATGAGTGATGTCAAGTGGAATCTAAATGCTGATAAATGCAGTTGGTTCATGGGGCAAGATGTGTCGGTGTTTTTTACAAACGAACAAAATAACTCTGTTATCTTTTTTCAATAAATATAAATTTGTTTAAATTTTTTTAAATTTGACAGAGCTTACATATAATTCCGAAACTCACTGTTGAGTGACCCTTTGCTCTGATTAGTTGCAAATGCTGTCAGTGACTTTGAATTTGTTATTTAAGACGGCTGTCATTGTTGTTCTTGAATTTGTTGTTGTAGTAGCTTTTGGCCAGAAACTCGTTAGCCCACAAGAGAGATCAGCCAAGCCGGGCAAAAGCAACAAACGAATCGCATTGAAATTGAAATCGCTCATAAATTCAGTTGCTAATTGTAAAGAATGGCAGACCTTGGAATTCAAAGAGACAAAACTCATTTCCAATGGCTACTGCAGAATGCGAAACACAGCCAAACCGGGCAAAAATTATGAAGCTAAAGAAACGCCAAACTGGCGAACAGAAATAACAATAAATAAATATAAATTTCAAGCGCAAACATAAAGAGCTATTGACTGTTGACTTTAATGAACAATTAGGCGGCAGCCACTTAAAATGGCCAACAGACTTATGCATATATGCACTATATGTATCCCCCAGATGCAGATACGCAGCTCCGGCGACGACGAGCGAACAAAAGATTCAGATACTCGCACATATAAGGCCGATCCGCTAATCGTAATGGTATAATGGCTTCTCTATGGGCCTGGCCCAATAATAAAAAACAATTGATTATATCGACAACTGCAGTCTTAGATATTTTGAGAGGGGGCGTTACTGAGGGGTGGGACTTGGGTTGGCTAGAGCAGGAGGGAGTCAGGGCATTTGGACTTTAATTAATGCATTCAAAGCATTTATGTAAATGGCGGGAAATAATTTATCACCCATTCAAGACAGCAACAACGAACGGCAACAACGACCAATCAAATGTGGCATCCAAGCATTTCAATACAGTAAAGAACCAGATCTTTGGATAACTACCCAATAAATATTAATATGGTTCTTTCCTATTATAAATATCATTTTAAGAAGTTTAGATAAGATAAAACTATAAAATTAATGCTCAAGTCCTGCATCCACTAAACTAAAGAAGACATGTATTTTAATGGGGCATTTTAATATATTTTTCAATAGTTCTTTGATGAAAATTACAAGCCATTAATTATATTTTAATATACAAAAGCAGGAATAGTTTATTAACAATTTTTCATATACTGTTAACAACCAATTACTAATTTAGAATTAATTTAAATCTCTCACTATTTTTCTGTTACCTTTAAGACATTTTAAACGAATATTGCATTAGCTACTGATTTTATTTATCAATAAAAAAGCTTTTATTTCATGGGCTCTACTGTGCTTGTCTCTTTTTCCGTTTGTTACAAAATGTTTCGATATTTCCATTTTTTCTCGATTTCTGTGTTCATTAGTGCAACGCCCACACATTGGGCATTAAGTGGGCGTGGCCGCAGCGAACATTAAAAGCGGCAAATCGTTTGATTTTCCTCAGATTTCTCGTTGGCTGTTTAAGGTTGTTGTAGTTGTCCATGTAATTAGTACTTAATTTATAATTTTTGTACCGCAAAAATTGCAAACCAAATTGCTGAGCAATGTTCTGAGAGTGTGTGTTGTTTGTTTGAGAAATCGGCGCAAGGTTATAGATACTAGATTCCAGATACGAGCTGTAGGAAGGCGGTTCTGTGGGCCGGCCCAAGGCGTTTATGTGTGGGTGGTTGAATTTTTTTTTGTTTTTTTGCTGGGTTGCGATTTGTGGAATAAATTCCAATTGTCGGCGGAAATGTAAAATTATTGGACTAAATATGCCACATATTTCTCCACCTTAACCTTCTCCTTTGGTCAGATATTTTTGTGCCGGCACTTTGCCAACAATTTCCGCAAATTAAAGAACAATTTCTATTTTCCTTGATACCAGATAGCAAGCCGCTTAGCTCACATTGGCCACAATCATTAACCGAAGCTATTATGGAGCGAAGGATACGACGCAGCACCAAGAATTTCCACACATTTCTCCAGTGGTATAGAGATGCACGTAACAAAATACTGAAAACGTTTAGAAGTTTATTATAACAAAAAAGAGCAGGTAGAGAGATTTGTTAAATATATAAATTATGTTATATTCTATTATATATATTGCGATAAAAAAATTAATATTTAACTATTAAAGAATATAAATCCATTTAAAATTAAATTAAGTTCAAAAATAAATTAAATAAATCCGACAATGATAATAAAATTTTTATTATAAATAACATTTAAACTCAAATTTAAATTTCCAGAGGATTAAAATGTTTGTTGAAAAATAAAACACCATTAAAACAACAGCAATCTGTGAATTTAGACTATATTTAACTAATTGATTATTTAATATAAAGAATGTATATTGCTTACTGGTAAGTTTTAAAAGCAATGATTTTCTTTTAATGTTTTAAAAGAAACCCGCAATAATTTTACTCCAGTGCACATTAAATCAGGTGGCTGCTTGATGCTCATCCAATCGAGCCATACAATTAAATAACAGTCCAGCTAGATAATGCGACTAACTAGAAATAAATAAACAAGGCAGGCAGGCGCCCGGTGGCAACCACCACCTCGGATGCATTACTTGCCGCACCACCGCACCACCGCTCAACTGCCACTGCACCACCGAATCGCGAAGCTCCATCACTCAATCCCCATTGTGGTCGTCAATCAAGGTTGGCCTGTACTTTAAGCCGAACTACGGACTACTGTGCGTACTCGATGGGAGGGACAGGGACCGGGACCGGGACCGGCTTTGTCTGTCTCTTGTCCGGTCGCGCAGTTTGGAGACCGCATAATGATAGAGCGGACCTGGGGCCTGGCGTTAGCCGGGCTCTGAGACGGGGCTTACTCAATTACCTTTGACTAAATTATGGCCAATTGTTGCATTGAACATGTGTTGCATAATTACGGGCTGTGGCGGCCACGTACGCTGCAAGTTGGTAGCTGCGAGCTCAAATTTGATTACTGCTTATAGATTAGATCGGCGGACAGAACGGCGATGGAGTGGCTGCGCGTTACGGTACACTGCAACAAAATCGATGACATTGAAATTTTCCCTTAAAATCTTAACTCAAGCAGTTAATGCAATTTAAGCGGATTGTGAAGTAACACAAAATAATAAATATATTACTTTACAAATGTGCTTTTTTTCAAAACTCTAACGTTTTTAAGTTATTTGATCCTTAAAAAACTTTTTATAACTTTTGTATTATATATACACATTTTTTTGTAATCTTGAAATTATAAAAACCATTTTTACTTGCGGATTTTTCGGTCTGTGCATTAAGTACTTAAGTTTGAACTTGCGCCTTTGGGCCGGCAACTCAATGTGTTGCAAACTTGGCCACGTTGACAGGTTAATGTCCGTGGCCAAAAGGGCCAGAGGAGGAGGTGTTTTTTCAAAGGGGTCGAGCGGTGTTTTTTAGGTGTGGGATTCTACGGTTTTGGGGCGTTAACGCTCAACTAACCAAATCAGTTTTTAGGGGCCATAGAAAATGTGCGGAAAACTGGCGACCCACACGTGTTGGCAACATTGTTGTTGCCGTCGTTGTTACCATTGTTGTGGGTTGTTTTTCTTTTTTTTTATTATTTTTTTGTTGGACGGCAATTAGCGTCGCAACATTTACGAGTGCCAGACAAATTACCGGGCAACATGTTGCAATTAAAATAACGGCACGCCAACTTTCGCCGCAAATCGTTCGCAGCACCAAAAATGTTGCGAGCGCGCGTGCGACAACAAAACAACAACGAACAAACACTAGTTGTTGTTTGGTTGTTTGTTGCCCGTTTGCCGTGAGTTTATGGCGCAAAACACTTAGCCAAAAGAGCCATACTTCAGAGCCAAACCTTTCGCACACAAATTCAATTTGTTTGCATTTTAATTGTCGTTTGTCGCCGCCGCAGACCAACAGAAAAACCAAAAAAAAAAATGGAGAGAAAAATTGCCAACAACTCGTCGCCAGTTGTCGCAGCAAATGCAACATACACACACTCAATATGGTGTTTTTTTTATGGTCTTATCCTACGCATTTCCAATGCTGTTAACAGCTTTGTCCGAGGGTGTGTTAAATATTTTTTATGGCTTACTTTGTGCGCCCAACAATCATTTCGGTTTTTGGTTTTCCTCCTCGCACGCCTAGCATTTTGGCTTTAAGCTGCATTGACTGCCATTTTTATGGTTATTAAAGCCGCGAGCCGTCTTTTTTGGCCCTCATG